GGGGGGGGTATGTAGAAAAAAATACAGTCTTCTGTTGTCTATGGAATTAGAAAAATTATCGTCGTTTTGTGCAAGGGTGGCGTAAGATGATTGCAAAATTTCATGTTTTCCGTCCCGTTTAGCATGTTTCTCGGAAGCAAAATGAGCAAGAACGCTCGTTTTTACATCATTCCAAAGAGAACTAAATGCGTTTTTAGAAAGTGAACAATCGATAAGGAAATGTTGCAGTTTTCTCAAAAAATGCTTGAATCCAAGAAGTTTTAGATTTGCGTGGTATTTTTTTGAGTTGCAAAATCCACTTGAACATGACGCTGCTTTTTTCGAAGTTTCTCAAGAACCATTCGAGCCACAGAATTCGTTTTGGCATCGTAGGATAGAGAATTGAAAAGTCGAGTTGGAAATTCGAGTAGTTTTGACCCACAAAGCGAAATTTGAACATCAGACACTTAGGTGCAAGATTATGCCAAAATTTCATGTTTTTCGTCCCGTTTTTGCTCATTTCTCGGAGGCAAAATGAGCAAGAACACTCATTTGTACATCATTCTAGAGAGAAATAATTGGCCTTTTTAGAAAGTGAACCAACAATAAGAAAATGTTGGCAGTTTTCTCAAAAAATGCTTGAATTCAAGAAGTTTTAGATTTGCCTGTTTTTTTTTTAGTTGCAAAATCGCTGCTTTTTTCGAAGTTTCTCAAGAACCATTCGAGCCACAGAATTCGTTTTTGTATCGTTGGATAGAGAATTGAATTTTGAAAATTTGTCACTTGACCTTTGATATAACAATTATATAAACAAAAGCCTTTTACTCCTCAATAGTGTTGAATTCAACCTATTACTTAAGTGAATTGCGGCAATTTAACAAATCCTTGCTTGAATAGATTTGATGATCAGTAGCAAATTATTAATAATCATTAATTAATCAATTATCATCAAACATTGTCTTATTCTGTAGAATTTGGATCGAACAAAAAGTTCACAAAGAAAAAATTTGCAACTGAGCTAAAAAATTCTAATATACCTACCTATACACTCGCTGGACAGGCAAAAGCCTTAGTAAAGTAAAAAGAGTTGGACAAACTGGTGAAAATATGGTTTATACGTCCAAGTAAATGAGCTCCACAACTTACCTATCAGCTCTAATGAACCAACTGGAACATCATACCCACACTCTTCTAAAATCTCTTCCCTGGCTATTTCAGCTAAAGACAATTGCTTATCCACAATACCAGCACATAATTCAATAGTTATGCCATTTTCTGGGGGATATTTGGCTGTATCAATGGGATGGTCGATTTGCCGATCTTGGGGATCAATTGTACCCAGATACACGGCAGGCCTGAACTGCTTTACCAATATCAACACTTTTCGGAGTTTGTTGTAGATTATAATTGCCACACTATCATGAATTCCCAATAAGTCCCAAGTTTTCTTCTGTCCGTTTTGAGTGAAATGCATAGTGTAGGGCTTTAAATATATGGATTTTTCCAGTGGTTTCATTACAACGTCGGTGATTTTGTTCATGGTACTTGCTGGTGTATGGAATATTTAGTAAGTAGTTTCGTAGAAAAGAATTTAAAGATCTGGATTGACCGATAAATAACATAAAATTAGGTTAGGAAATGCAACAGTGTCCATACATTTGTCAAACATTGTCAAACAAGTGTAGTGTACACCAGTGGCGTATTTAGCATTTTTGGAGTGGCAGTGTTTAAAAGAGTTAAAAAATGTCTGTATCCAAATGTAAAAGAAGCGGTGGACTAAACATTTATATAATTTTCACGTAAAACTAATAAAAACGGCGTCAAATATCACGTAATTAATGATGAAAAAAATACCTTGAGGAGGGCGGCAAGCCCCCTGAACATAAATACACTGTACACACAACATCTGTACACCATAATGTACAAAAATGAAATTGTTTCCAATTTTGAAAATTACTCTTAACATAAATTAAGTAGCAGAATAATCCAACAGTCCCTTCGAACTGTAGGCTCTAATATGGACAGCCCTTTAGCACTAGAAGAAACCAGATCATCATCATGATGAGAGAGTGAACTTGTGAACAACCTTTAATTAGACGTTTCTGCAGAGACAAGTACTTGTCTCTGGTTTCTGATCAATCTGATCGAGAAATAACCGTGACATCACATCACCTAACCAAAAAAAATCACAATCATAATTTTGTGCTCTTTCTCTGGCTCTTTGTCACAATTCATTCAACAATGGCGCAACGCAAAAGCAAAACAGATTATCCTGCTATGTTGCAGATCTAAAACTTCCAAATAAACGTACGGCCAAGTTAACATAATTATATCTTGAATGGCCATCAAGAGAGCAGATGAACCGATCAACGAATAGACTGAATTATGTATTGCCTGCAATGGTTGATACCAGTTCTGTTGGTGCCCAAACCATCGAATCCTGCACTAGTTCAGACCCATGTAATGTTCATGGTTCTCTACCTGATCGGCTTCTTTTTGGAGAGGAAACCCTGCACAGTGTGCACTCTAGTGTTTTTAGTGACAGTGTTTCTTATATGCTATAGTGGCAGTGGGAATTGCTTGTTTTGGGGCAGTACCTTATGTGAAAACGAAAAGGGATAACCACGGCCTCCTGGAGCGCCTAAAACATTCGAAAAATGGTTGTTGTTGAACGAAAAAGTGACCTACGTGATTTCCTTTTTTGTTATGCTTGTTGATGGTTTAGGTGTACCATTATTTATTAAAAATGTTGTACATATAATACCCTAGTCGTAAACGCGTTTATAACTTAATATAGAACATTTGCCTATTGATATTTAATTATACCAAAGATCACAATTCCCGACTAATAACAGTGCTTTAACAATTTTACACACGCTCTGTATAAACTAACTATATTTAAAAAATAACTTGCCACATTTTATTGCTTACAATCAATTATCAAATCTCTTAAATTTTTACTAAACCCATTACAGCAAATGACTCATTTCTATTTTATATCGTCCACTGCATTTGAAGACTTATCTGTGAATTCTAATGGCAATTGAATGTTCTTAAAATATTCGGGCTCAATGACTAAACCGTGATAGATTTAGTTTACTACTGAATATATTGGATTTTATACTTTGTTGGTTTTTCTCTATGTGCAACAGCCAGTTATAATCAAAAAATAGATTATATACAGTGTAATGTACATTACTCAGCCGAGTCTTGAGTGATTTTTGCCCCTTTAAATGGAAACACATTTAGTGAATGAAATGATGCCTTTATTCTGTAGTGAACCTTTATTGTGTGCAAAACATAAAGCATAAATTGTTACGGATTATGTGTGTTCATAGCTCTAACGGGATTTCTTTGTTGACGTGATATTGAAGACTTTCTTTAGATTGGCTTCAAGTTCAGTACTGCCACATTCACAAATATGCAGATTTTGAGAGCATGTTCTTCAAGTCTGTGTAGTAACTCTTATTTTTCCTATAAAAGTGGTCCAAAAACGCATCTCTATGAACTACATCGAAAGTTGCGTAAAAAATTGGATGCTTTTTAAATTTTTGCTAAAGTTTTGCAACAAATTTCAAGCCTCTGGTCTGCATAGCTTTTTTCATTTCTACACTAATAAATTGCAAAATTTTAATTTTCAAGAGTTTTTGCGGCTGGTTGCGTTTAATAACGGCAAAAGTTATTACTACTGCCGACATAATAATTTGCCAAATTTAGTTTAATGCGAATACATTTGAATTTATCCATTGTTGGTTTTTCTGTTCGAATTACTTCAAGTTAAAGAATATCAAATAAGGAATCACCTTCAATGTAAATGTAGCCAAATCGGCTGAGTCATTTTGTTTCTTTAAATTGAACCCATTGCGCTGTTATTTTGAAAATTGCTAGGGAATAAAATTATCCGTTCATTCTTTAGCGAACCTTTATCGTGCCCAGTACGTTAAGGCAAATTGTATACGCATTATGTATGTGTGTTCTTCGCTTTAACGGAATTTCGTAATTGTCCTGATATTGAACACTTTTTCGTTAGCTTGAAATTGAATCCTTGAAAAATAGCTTTTATTTAACCCATAAAGTTGAGCTAGAAGCGCATCGTTCAGAACTACAGACATCGAAAGTTGCGCAAAAATATCAGATGTTTCTGATCAAATTTCATGACAATTTGCAAGTTCATTTCTCAACGAAAAAATAGCAAAATTTGAATTTTTAGGAGTTTTTTTAAACTAGCTCAGTTTTGCAATACAAGCAAAGGAAATTGCTTACTGGCGCAATAATATCTGTTATTTTTGAGAATACACTCTGTATATGCCAAATACTAGTCCGAGAGTTCCAGAGCGACTGCTCTCTGCTTCGCGTCCAATTAACCAATGAAGCTATTTCGTTTTTGTCATTCAAAGAATAAAAACGCTAAATCATTACAATAAAGAAAATGCTGATATGTATTTTGAATATTGACAAAATATAAAAATCGTTTATTTTTAGAAACCATAAGAAAACTGACATAGCAAATGTGGAAAACGTAATAACAAAATATATACAAAAAACCTAAACATAAACAAAAAAAATTATCACTCGAAAGACATCAGATTACTGGGTAAAGGAGTGGGCTCTCCATTGGCAGCCTGCTGAAGAAGGAGGCACCACCGTTCGGCTAAATGTTTTGTACCAACTCGAAACTTATAGACGTTACCTGAGGGAAATATTTATTTATTTCCTTATAATGCAGTTATTTATCTCTGACATACCTCTGATATGGTCGACTAATTGAAACGAGTCCTGATGTAGCATGCCATCATTATAGAAAACTTGACACCCAGATAAAGAGACCATTTTACAAGGATCACGTTTAAAATCAGATCTTTCTTGTCTACGAAAAAAAAAACACTAATGTAATGGGATTTTTTTGAATAAGTCCATGTAAATTACCCTTTGAAGGATTTTGGAGAAAAATATATTAGAGAGCCAGTCCAAAGTTGAACCCAATATCGCTGCCACGATGAAACAGTCGGCTTTCTGCCTTCTTTAAGTACAGTCTTCCGTCTAACACAACCTTGCAGTGAACACAAACTCTCTTCTGATGTTATTTCGTCTTCAGATAATCTAAAATAAGCGACATTTGTTTGTTAGTATGGAATTCAACTTTAATTTAAAAAGCCCACCTTGTTAGCAGAGTACAATTATCTTCAGTGCTTTGTGATGCTTGAAGTGGCAAATCACTATTAGGTGATGGCAAGTTGTTACGACGCAAACCGGTCAATCTCGAGTCTTCTAAAACGGAGTCGTCCAGAAGGTTCAAAGTTTTGGGAACTTCCTTTGGATCAAAACTGCCAACTTGATATGATTTCGTAAATATACTGAAAACGCATTTAAAAAAATTATTATCAGGAAAACACGAAAAATCGAAAGTGATTTAGCCACGTATTACTTTAAATGGGGTGCACCATGCCCTAAAAATATGCAAATAGTGAATGTGAGGTACTAACTAGAAGAAAAAAAACAGTTGACTCCATGTTCAAGCCTGTAAAATGTATACGCACTGAAATTACATAAAAATGATAGCGATATACAATCGAATATTATTGCGACATGTTCTTTTAAAGTGTGTACATTTTTTATGTATCACCCAATATGAAAACTCACTCAGACGAAATATTAATATTAATAATCGATAAAGTTTTATCACTTAATTAATCAAATACATATATTGCGGTATTAAAATTCGCAAATTTATGAAAAGATCAAGGATCAAAAAGGGCCTTTCTGTTTATCCCCTAATTTATAAAACTAACAATCGTTCGAGTAACAAAAGTGATGATCTAAAAAGTGTCATCCAATAAATAAATATGGTCTACCTTAGAATACTCACAAGATAAGTAGCAGCATCGCAATGCAAAAAAAAACCGTAATAGACTACAAAGAAATAAAACCAAAAACCCAACTGAAAAAGCGCAGCTGAAATGATCATTACTATTTACTAGTTGAATGGCATTTACTCTTCAACTATTAGCTCCGTTCTTTTACCAGACTTACCTAAATGGTAGCACCATTGAGGGGTGATACCCTAATTTGTGAAAATTTCGAGGAAGACTTGTGCTACGAAATCTATAGAAAAAACTGGAGATGTATTATGAATGATATGAAACATCATGTAGTGGAGTGTTGAATGAGTGATGTTGCACGCTTCTGACCATCAATTTGTGCAAATGATTAAATTGTCGCAATACTTACTTTGTTCCCAAACTCCTGCATTTTCTATGCCCAGGAATGAATTTACTGCCCGCAGTGACGGCCTGCAGACGCAAAGAGCCTGAAGACGCTTTAGCGGGCGACAGATTGAGCGAAGCCAACGCAACTGGATCCAATACAACCGATTCTTTAGAACTATTATTTGATGAGCTAGGAGCCGGGCTAGGTGGTTCCAAAGTTAATGATAATCTAAAATGGTTATTTGCTGTTATAAACCACAATTTTAGAACAATTTAAGTAAACCTACAGTAAAATCCTTTACGTTACGACGATGTGTTTTAAATTATAAAATATATACATTGAAAAGGCTGAATCTAATGCCGTGTACACAGTTGACACGACCGAAGCGGGGCGGCCTTATTCTTTATTGTTGCTGTAAAACCCAGCATTACATTTTTGTTTCTAATGAACTTATCTGAGTATTTAAAGATCTCAATCTCCTTCGAGTTCACCCAGAACTCCCCCAATTAAAGTAAAAAATCCGAATTTGAGAATTTTCCGACAATCCAGATCTTTGAAATAATCCCGCTCGCCGAACACTACTAACTATCCATACATAATTCAAACTTACTTGTACTGGTCGTCTTCGACAAACTTCTGCAACTCTTCAATATACCTAATGGAGTTTAAATAATCCTGAACATGAGGAATTCGAGTGAGATGTGAGTAGTCTGAGTGTTGATAATTCGAAATTATTCTGAGTATGTTGTTCATTTTGAACAATCGTTGTTGAGATTCCAGGCCTCCTGAGTGCGGATGCGCCATGTCGATGTAGACCAAATCAGTCAAATACAAACCTATTTAAGAAATTGTTATGTGGAACTGTTGACTTAAAGCCCATGTCCCATGCATCCGCTTATTAGATGATCGGATGGTACGAGTGTTTCTATTGGTCAGTACGGACGAATTGACAGAATCCTCCAACCAATAGAAACACTTTCGTATCATCGTACAAACGGATACATGGCACACGGGCTTTCACCAGTTATGAGTTTAAGGCCCGGCACACACGTACTACTTTTTCCACGCAAGCACCGTTGCTGCGCCTTTAAGTACCTACTAATAAATAAATTAGGAGAATTAGGAGCCCGTAAAGTTGCCCTTATGGTACTTTGCGGCCTTATTAAAGACGCACTCCCTCATAAAACCGCTGGCAGTAAATAATGGATCTTCGAGCCTCCATAGTATCATTTTGTCTACGGGTTGTAGCACACGCACAAGAAATTCCCAAGCTAAATGGGCGCAGTAAAAAAGTTTCCGAAAGCACGAAATATTTTGTTCGGAACCTACCATGATCGGGTGAAAAAATCAATGCGTTAGTTGCCATTGTTTGGTCGCAAATGTTTCCAGACGAGCTATTTCTCCGCTATAATTTTTCGAAGTTTTGCTGCCTATAAACATAGATGGTATGCGTATTTGATTATTAGGTTTTTATATGCATCTCCAGTTTAAAATATACCACTAACTGATTCTTTTCCGGGAAATATAATAATAGTAATTCAGTAGTTCTTACTACAAGCAAAAAAATTACTAAGTTCAACAGCGTAATAAGAAAAGTGGCCCCTAGAAATTCGTACGTGTGCAGCAGGCCTGAGGTCTTCGATTAATCCGAGATATAAAATTTATATAATTATTAATTAATTTAAATGTTTAACATTTCTTTACTGAGTATTAATCAATATTTTATATGTTCAATTTGTTGTTGTTAAATTTAAGAAAGCATTCTAAACGAGTTAGTTGACAAAAACGTTACGTTCGTCATTCAAGAAAGCGCTAACATTTATCTTTATCGCATGAGAAAGCTAATAAGTAATTTTAACTGAATTTTAGGCTTCACAGAAAATTTTGAGCTGGTCACATTTTTACATTGGCTTCACCCAAAAAAATATGTCAAACATCAGACTTGTTTTAATAGAACAGTCTATTACGATTGCATTATTAAATTATATAGGAAACATAGGAATATTAAATTATATAGGAAACATACTTTACATATGGTATAACACAAAGCATAAATATAATATGCAGCTTTTTTGAGTCACCCTGTATAGCTGAAACTAATTTTAAAATGTGGCCCTCTTAAAATTCTACAACTATTCATTTCCCCGTCAGATAAAGTCTCGACTAAGGTGGGCCACCCTATACATTTACCAAAATATTTACCTAAATAAGGGATGCAAGGCAATTTAAGACTTTCAATATGACTTCTCAAGTTTGCCCAATTATTTTCATCTGAGAATACTTCAGCCAATTTATCAAATGTTTGCTTATCTTTCTTTGGTAGGGAACCCCATGTTTTTGATAATCTGAAACAAATTAGTAACTTTGGTATAAAAAATAAAATAAACTCCGAAGTTATGTTTTRTACAATAAATGCTGAAATGMRMCYYATGAATTAAATGAATGAACACTTAAAGCTGAAATGATAAWATAAACGCACACTCTGCTATATCAAACTGGCTTACCTATAAACAGAAGCACTTTGCAAGGCAGATATAACTGCAAAAAGCGAATGCAGATTATTAAGTTCATATAATTTCTTCGCTATCCTAATAAAGAAGGCGAGAGTCTCCGCCCGGTGTTTTACAGTCGCTCCTGCAAGAACTTCTTGTACTGTCCAAAAACTTACCTAAAACAGTCCAAAGCTGTACATTGAAACGCTCGGATTAAATTGAAATAGTTACATGATTAAATCGTCTAGAAAAAGCCACAACATTTGGCGCAACATTGAGCTTGTTCTTCTTATTCCATCCGCAACTAGTTAACTCATCGGGCTGGATGTTGAAGAAAACCGGCCAGTCCAATATGGTTAATTGAGCGGCGAAATCTTCAGCTGGGATTCTGAGTATGTCGAAAACGGCACAGCTATAGTTCTGATGACAAGCGTTGTGGCATGCACGGTTCGGAAGACTTTGAGTCTTGGCATGAACAGGTACAGATGTAAGGCAGTTTCTATAACGAATAACTACAATTCGCCTGATTCGGGCCAAATACGGAAGATTTTTTCTTAGTTATCGTAATAATCTTACCCATAGTTGTAGTAGCAGCCTGCTGGTCCAGGTCCGCTAGATACTATGGGGGCTGAACTTTTTCTACGTATGCTATCTGAGGTTTTTGCAACACAACCATTGTGTGAATTATTGTCAGTCGGTTGATTAGTCACATGACAATGTGTAGTCGGGATAATATCATCTGAATTCTGGAATAAGAYCACCATTAATGAATTCATCTACTCTTTTTCGCAGTTATTTGGGTTTCAAAAGTAACACTTTAAAGCCCCGTGTAGGATAATAATATATAATATATATAAAAATGAACGTTTTCTCGCAACTTCAGATGCTTCAATAATAAATATAACTTGCAATCTAGAACAAGTAGCAACTTGAAATGTTCACAATCTACAGATGAGACGTAAATTTCAAAACCTTCATAATTTCATCTGAATCGCGTCAGCTGATGATTTTTACGCTATTTGTAAATGTTGGTCTAAAAATAAAAAATGCTTAAGATTCGATCTAGAACGAGTTACAACTTGCTTTCTCAGTCTATCGAGAGCATTTGACTCTGGAAACAAACAAACAAACAAACAAAGTACTGATTCCTGGTGATTATGCTAATGACAACTTGAGAGTTATTGGGCGTTTCGAGCAATATTTTCGTCTTCAGATAACTTTTCTTTTTGACTGACATTCTGTTAATTAGTTAGAGTTAATTTTGTAATTAGAAGCAGATCATGTTGCATAAGCACCGTATCTTCAAAATGTATGCATTTTCCTTTGAAATGTGTATTATTTAAATGGAAAGTATAATATAATAAGACACTAAATTCAATTACCAAAGACCTGGTAAGTTAAGACTCAAATTATTCAGAATTGATAGTAAAACCCACAAATAGCATAACATGCAGGGAGTTTGTTTCTTTATCCAGTAATCTTTCAATAAATTCTGCAGTCGACAATTTAACACAAAAAGMACGCGCATTTGTAGTTATGAGTTAGGTTTTTATTATTACCRGTCCCACTGTGTTTTCTTCAAAAATTGTGGGCTGAATGTAAAGTTACTGAGAGAACCGCACTTACACGTACAAATCCATACCGCATACTTAATCTTAAACAAAACAATCATTTATTGAAAAGCAAACGAGAAATAAAATTATCCAAATTGAAATGACGCAATGCTTTTTGCGATATGATTTGAATACACGTTTGGTTTTGTTTAACGTAATTGTACGTCATCTATAATGCATACATGTGTATGGTGCAGTGACTTGATCAATCACAAGTAACTTTTATCATTGTTGAATGAAACAATTTATTATCCTAAATTAATTGAAACGAAAATAAAATTAGAAATGGATTGTATCATAGTCTAAGCTGATGTGGATTTTCAGTTTCCCTTTAAATAATTGATTAATTCCAGTTACTGATATACTTATTGGAATCAAATTAATCTCTAATACCTACATGCAATTATGACTTCACAACATACCTCAGATATTTTGAGAGTGGCAAGACTGTCTCCAGAAATATCTCTTGGTATCTCAGAGTAACGGAGCATTTTCAGGTCATGGCGGTCTTTTATGTGTTGGAACTGTAACAAAACAGTCTAGTCAGGATTATTTTTAACTCATAGTTCGAGCTTCTTTAACCTTAAACTTGATAGCATCCAAGCTTTCATTAAAATGAGCATGTAGACAGATATATTGCACATAGTCTTTAAGTGTAACATTAACAGATATGTACTGGCCAATTAATTGATGATGCTAGTTTCTAGTTGATACAATGTTTGCTTCAACGCGTATTAAAACAGTAATAGTTAAAGTGACAAAAAATTTAAACAAACCAGATACTTTTTCACGTTTTAGATCACCGCGTTAATTGAATCCGTACTTACAAGAGAAATTCCACAAAAACGAGCACGATTTTTCCTCAATTCTGCCATAACAACGACTTCAACTGGCAAGCAACAGAACAACAGCGATTTTAATTAATCTCTACTGTACATTACCATGTCGTTAATTATGACTTATGTTATCTAAATAATTTATTTGGTGAAGATTACAGAAAATATTCCTCAAATGGTATGGGGCTACGATAAGTTTCGAGTGATCAAAAACTCATGTCGGATGTCAATATCCTGTTGGATACAAATAAGTACTGAATTACTATCGACTTGCTCTAATAAAAAATGAAGTCCAAAAAAATTGTCGATTCGAAGTATCTATTTTTCTGTATTGGGAGTTTGAGGCGTGCTTAAATATGTTTTATCAAATTTCTATGGCCAAATCAAAACTCACTATATGCATGAATAAGCTGCGTTTCCTCGGTCACTATCTTTCCTACCTTATCTCACTATATTGCAGTCGGGTTTATGGTAAATGTTTATATAAAATTGAAGAACACAAAGGATGTTGGTACACAATTACAATAGAAATATCTATATCAATAACAGTGGAAGTTTGTACATTTAAGAGTGTGGTTTCTCTGCAAAAAATTCCCAAGCTCTATACTTTTTCCGAATCAGATCAGAATCACTGGAAGAAATACATGTGGATGATCAAAGATATTAGATGAATTGCCAAATGCCTGCTGAAAAATCATCCGAAATGTATTCATTAGTTTAACGATTCATAAACGTTTACATACATTATTAAAATAGTAATATGATTACAAAGAAGTTAAGCATTCAGAATCCTCCGATATAGATCCCCCATTACCACAAAGAGTTTTGTAGAAATCCATTTTTTGCAGAAGCTTCATAACTGTTAAATTGAAAGTGGACATCAATTTTCAGGCATTTGCATAAGTTCAAAGTTATTTAATTGTAATCGTAAATTTTAAAACATTGACTTGATGATTTGATTTTGAAGCGATTCCAAATCTTGTCCCATGTATCTCATATTTTCTCATTATAGGAAAGACATTCAAACAATTGTATTTTCATTCTATTCGTTGGTGCCACATCGACACCCTTAGGTTTTTCAGTCAAAAGTTTCGTCTTACAGCTTTATCCTTGAATTTATTCCTGCATAATAACTTGAAATATTTGGTTCCTCTCATTATATGTCCCGTATAAAGCAGTTTCCTTTCTTTGACTGTTATGACTATTTCCTTTTCTTTATGCATGCGTGTTTCTTTTAATACTCGAATGATTTCGTCCTTAGTTGGATTCCAAATGCACTTTTATTTTCTAGTGAACTGCCTTTAGTAATATTTAAAAACCATGCAAATAGAAGCGGTTTCCATATTCAGCTCAGCTTTTAGAATTTTTATTCTTCGACCAGTTCAAAAACGAATGCAAACATATGTGTATCCTAGAACCAAACCCCATTTTCACTTCTCTGTCGTAAATTCCAATTATTTCTTCCTATATTACAAGATAGAAATATGGGCATTTAAAAATGGCTTGAAAGTCTTGTTATTTAATTTTTAATTACGGTTTATACTCATGGGGCACTTCCTGCAGAGTCTATATAAAGTCTATTAAAACAATATAAAAATCCAAGCACATAACAGTCATTTGCAGTGCAATAAATTGCATTTATAAATAAGATAGAAAAAACCTAATGTAGCGTTGACTTAAAATGTATCAGTTCCAGTATCTTGACCGACATAGAATAAAGTCAAGCATCTTGCAATTAAAATGTACCGTTTTATCAACTATTTGGAAATGCCATCAGAATATCAAAGTAGTAGTCTAATTTCAAACTAAAACATCAATAAAACAGTAGAATGATCAGGAAGAAACAATCTTCAAGTTTAATAAGAGAATAAAAACTATACAATACTAACTGCAGACTAACACATTTCAACCAATGGAAATTGAGCTTTGGAGAATTAGTTGCTCGCATCTTTACTGCATGAATCAATTTCAATGGCAGATTTGAATTTTATACCGGTAGGGATTAGGAACGATGCAGTTAATTGATCGCACCCCAAATCTTCCGAGATCTCAATAAATTTTGCATTGACTAAACTTATAATAATCTAGATTCCAGAAATAGCCGCAAAAAAATATTCGAATTGATTTACTGGTTCACTAGGAGAATGAGTTCAAATGATTCTTTCAGTCGCTGAAAACATGGCTTTACATTGCTAAACGAGAATTTCTCCAACGTGTAACTCATGTTCTTGCTACTTGTTCGTCTTTAATTTAAAATTAAACAATACATTATCCCGCTTATAAACGCGGGTGTCCCACTAAAGAAAAACACGTTTAAGCTGTTTCAACAGACATAAAAAAATTGAACTATTGACCCAAAAAAATTATATCTCGAAATGGATGAGACACATGTAGGTATAGGAAAGGCTTGTAAACCTCTAATTCATCAAGTAATATTTGATTCAATGAAACTCGACTCTAAATTACCGGATGTCCAATTAAAAATTTGGAATTCAGTAAAAGTATTTTTGTTACAATTTTCAATTATACAAGCGCACAACACAGCTAATAAAACTGCTCAAGAAAATGAAAGTTCCATAGCTAAATTTGCCCTAACTTTAGAACTGGATGAATTCTGATCGCTTAAAGCAATTGGGTTCCTGTTTGAAGCGTTATTGAGCCCCGTTTGGTTTTTAGTTAGTCAATGTTTTGGTAAAAATAAAACACCTAAGATACATTTTTTAAAGCGTGCAAAAGTTTTGCAAGGTTCGGCAGGCTCCAGTTGGACATAAAAGAGGTTTTTTGGATCTCAACAACAGCTCGAAACGGTTTTTGAATTTTCAGCCATATCTTCTATTTAAAGGGTGGTATCAAAAAATTAAATTTTGGTTTTGCAGCTATAATATTTCTCCTCTTGCTTCCATTTTTACATTTTTTTTGTAATTTTGGTTCGATTTAAGACAAAAATTCGATATACAGGGTTACATAAAAAATTACTCAAATCAGAACTGTCCCCGAAATCTGTGATTCTAGAAGGTTTTCAACAAAGTGCAAATATTTCGTTCATTCATGCCAGCCGGTATGTTGATTTTTTTTCTGAAATCGACTGTGAAGGTTTAGCTTCTGAACCCCAGGTTATGAAAAGAAAATGGATTCAAGAGCAGAAAATTTATCACTTCAAGACCAAAAAGTTGATTGTTTTAAGGCCACACTGTAAATAATAGAGCTTGTTGAGAAATTGCTTCCGAGACCCGAGCTCTATCTTACTTCTTGTGGATTTTTCACCTTATTTTGCATTGTTTGATTTGCCACCCTGTAGAAGCTTAATCTGAAGCACTAATTTATTGCACAAACAGGCACTAATGGAAAAAGTGGAAAAACTAAATAACGCTTCAAACAGAAATCGATTCCCTGGTAGCAGTAAGAATCTATTCAGTTCCAAAAAATTAGTCAATTTTATCAATGTAACGTTGAATAAATTGTTGTTAATTTAGCAGCTTAAAAGCAGTAAAAAAATGCGATTTTGCTTTAAAGATTCAGGACTATACGGTGATGCAGGTGTGCTAAAAATTGATGTTTAAACTTTAGTTGATTTTAGTGTTACTTTTAACAGTACATAATTTAAATTTAGAAAAATGGTTATCATGTGAGTCACATACTGTTTTATTATTAAATTGGTATTACTTGTATAGAATCCTAACTGACCTTTTTAATATTATTGAGCGGAAAATCGTCAACAGGTTTGAAAATTGGCAACTGGTCTTGAATGCTAAATTGATCCTGTTTTATAGCCTAATAAAGAATGATATACATGCATAAATAAATGGCTGTCTGCGTGTTTATACGTAATTTTATGCCATGGCGTCAATTGCTGGCGAATAGTAAATTTCAATTAGCCTGGATCATTTACATTAATATTTCTGTTGTTTCAGTTATGAGCTTCATTCGGACTTTCATTCTCTGATATGAGAGATTGTAAGAGAAATTAGAAAGGGATATATGAACAAAACAAGCCTCAACTGCAATTGAATTTGAAGATAATCATGAATTGAAACTCACAAAACAGGTCACGGCACTTTTGCATTTCACCAAATAATTCCTCTTGCAACTGTTGACTTCATACGTTTCTCCAGAATTTTTAAAGATGGAAATACCCATTATTTTTCACTTGCAACTAGCGAGTACGAAAAATTCAGTTTCACCACCTGATTAGTATCGACTCGAATTTCAGGGCCTTTTTTCACGCACTAATAGGGTTGCCACGCCGTCCGCACAATACTGTGCAATCCTTTAACCCGCACCACTTTTCTAATTACAAACGTTAATTTAGACGCGCTTCTAAGGTGAGACTGAATTACAAAAAAAGTTCAATAACTATATTATACACTGCAACACGATTGAATTCGTAAACACTAACACGCTTTATTGTTTATAGGCGAAACGATGTCGATGCACTGATTGATGCCAAGTGTGTCAGTAAGACCAGTGGATCATCATTGTGCATCAACTCGCTAACATACAGTATGTTGTGTCTGATTTACTGGCAAAACCAGTAGCAATTTTCATGTAATGGATGCTAAAGACCTGAAATTGATGAACACGTTTTATTAGAGCGCAATGTAATAGATATTCCATTCGAGTTTCAAGAAGGTTAATATTTGCAGAATCGTCCAAGTTCAACAATCACGCGCTTATGATCGATCAGCAGTTTTTCTTGACAATGACCCCTACTATTACATTAAAGCTCATTCAGGTGTTTTGAGCATTCATAGATGTTTATTATATACTTTTTTGGGATCGAGACATTATTGATCATATTCATAATTTTGCAAGTGAGACAAGGAATAAAGAGATAATATATAAATTATTCAAACGCGAAGGACAAGAAGGGGTAGGACCCACCAAGTCAAAATCACTTGTAAAATGGTGAAAATTGACAGAAGCTTGGAAAAAGCACTGAAACATCTTAACAACTCCATGAAGAAATGAAGAATACCAGACGTGTGTAAAAACTACCCACAAATCACCATTCTGTCGTCATATACAGATTCCTTACCAAGATTATCACTTTAACTGATTGGCCAACCAGTTAGGTCTTTACCAACCTGTAGAATAAACAGATTTTCGAAATTCTGCATGCAACACACTTACAGAACCAGCTAGCGGACTTTCGGAGCATTCGAGTACGTGAAAACATTTCTGTCCTGCATAGCATGAATAACTCCAGAATTAATCGGATGCAATAAGGAATACATATAAGACATCTTTCCTAAAAAGAAATGCTGGTCCTGGAACTTCCAAACTGTTTACATTGGTGTTAAGAAACCAATTTAAAACACTGCGAAATGAAGCAAGATTCGCTGACGACATCGCCCTCATAATCAATGAACCAAAAGAAGTGCTAGATCGGACTAAAAGTAATACTTTCGAAGAGCAAGATAATTAGTAATATAGAATATATTGTAAACATGTAATAAGACTGTAGAACTCGAGAACCAAGCGGAATGTCTTGAAATAGGGAGTACAAATCATGGTAATGATCAGAAAGATTGCCGAGCAGTTGGAGGTGAAGAGAGAACTGGACTGAATCATGCTGGGAACAAGTCAGAACCGGCAAGAGCAGAAACAAGAACATCCGATTAGTTGAAGAGAGATTAGAGAAGAGAAGAAGATTAGAGATGTCGCGGACATCTAGAAACATTTCTCAGACCTCAAAGGGTACTGGTTGGGTACATGCCAAATGCCAAAGAAACCCAAGACGGATGAACTGATTGATATTAACACATTGACGTTCAAGACAGACAAAGCGTGGTGCGGGCAAGAAATTATATTTTCATCTTCACCCACCGGACACCTTTATTAATACCATAAACATTATTAGTAAATTATTTCCTTAATAATACTGAATGTTCTACTAACTTATCGGTGAGGATCTTCATTCCAAGTATTTTTATTGCAATAATCACTGAAACGATGTAAAAGAACGACTCTCATATCGGGTTGGCAACCGACCTCGAAAGCGTAGCATAATCGCGAGTAACTGACTTCCGTTTACAAACTTTGTAGGTAATATAATATGAAAAAGTTTGAACAATAGATATGTTTGTTCGTGTCCACACATTATTATAACATAGATCGATAGATATTATATCTAGCAGTGTCTATAGGAGGGTTTCTTTGCAAATATTTATTTTTTTAGATAGACATATTTATATTTTTAAGTCTCATAAACTTTAGTAAATAATTTTCCATTTTGTATTAATATGAACATTTCATTTTAGAGAATGTTTTAAAAACGAGACTATTTCCTAGTGGCGTTTTTAGCCATTGATCTCCAAGGCATCTTTATAAAACAGAAATAACAGCAAAAATATTTGCTAAAACTGTAAATCTGGCGCTTCATGCAGTAAAACTGCTCAAGAAGAAAAAAATCGGTATAATTATTTTAACATTGAATCATCTAAGAAGGACATCAGACTTTGCTAATTATTTAAAAACCGTGGTAATTTTAAGTAATTATGACAATATTTTGATACTATCTGTAGCTTTCGTCTGAACATGTTCCAATCTATTGAAGTAATTTTATATATTTAAATAATAAATTTGTATCGTACAAGTAAACTACTGAACTTATTATTGATTGTCCAACTTGTTCCGATTGAATCCGTTACCTCTTCCTCAACAGTTTATTTTGCCCAGCACTTTATGGCTTACTACTGGACACTTTCCACCTGCCGCTTGCTGAGCGCAATTGTTTATTTGGGCCACTATATTTCATATACGAGGGAATAACTTACATCAATGCTTTTGTGATTGACAATATTTCAAACTGTCTTTACAGAAATGAGAAATGAAATTCCGGGGAGACTAATTTCAACTTGATAATTTTGCTCCTTAAGCAAATATTTAATTAAGTTGTAAAAAAGTTCCCTCTACATGTGCTTTGTTTGGTTATCTTAATTAAAACTGGTCTAAGGGCAGTAAATTATTCAATTATGCCACGAAAAAAAATCTGAATACTTAAGTGTAGCCTTTATAAATAAAAACTAGTATTAATAATCGTATAAATTGCCAGCATTATACAACACGGGCATTTATCACAGTTATACGTAATACTTTCCTGAATTAATGTAAAGAGGTACATCGACGGCTGACTTTAAGTAGATGAGCGATTAGAATGTTGTCCGCATATTAGTGAATCAGAAATTTCTCCAATTAATGATTTTCTTCCTGTTGAAACCCCATTACTCATATCAGTAAATTGATAATAACAAAAACAGATGCTCATCAGAAAACATGATTATTACAATTAAAATTTTCCAAAAAACGTAAAGAACATTGTTTGCAACCCTGACAATCGGCGCTTAATAATTAAGAATGCTATTACTACTATAAGCTTCCACCAGATTGAATTACCTAAATAAGCTATTATCGGGAATTTAAAAAAAATGTAAAATCACTGATTGATTTGATGTCGTGCACATGTTCATCAGTTTACCAAAATCGGCAGAGAAAGCTTAATTCTAGTATAATAAATTGGCGAGTGCAGAAGCGAAACCATTTCCGTTTTTTGCTTCACACAATCCTCGAAGAGAACTAGAAGCTTATTTCGTAAATTTGTTATTTTATCGGATTTCCGAGAACAAATTTGAATTTACTAATACATAAATTATTTTACGCAACACGCACACGCAATTTAATTCAAATGAGAGGTAGGTCTTTTAATGTAGTTCCCGAACGCTCAAATCAAGCAAACATTCTTGCTTGTGTGTAAATCCTTCTAAAACTATTAATTTTATTTAATTAAGACAGTGAATAGCTGTTGATTCAGATCGTTAATGCTAAAATAAATCAGAAGATATGTTAGACACGTTAAATTTACTAACTAAACAACCTACACACGAAGAAGGATCCCACGAAACCTTTGCACCTTAACCACCAAAAGCTTATCTTAGCCATCAAGCTTGGCAAATAGCAAATCTTGGTTAAAAATTTGGAAAGCATATCAAATTAATTCTAGGAAAAATTCATGAAAGAACTTGAAGCGACTACAGCCAAAATTATTAATTTGTATGAAAATAAGGGTTTAAAAACATATTTTTTTAAACGTTTAGTTTTTAGCGTGTGTTTCTAATATCTAATTAATGTAATGTAAGTTAATTTAAAAAATGAATTATTACAATTCGAAAAACCAACAGTCTAGTAGAAAAACGTCTTCCACAAATTTAAAAACTATGAAGCTGCGCAATTTTTGTCATAATTAATTTACTATTATTTTTTTGGTTTAAGGTTTTATCTCACACAGAGATTTAATAAATTAGCGAAGTTCAATTAAAACAAATAATCTGCCCGTAGTAAAGCAGAGAGTTATAGAGTATTATTAAAACCCGCGATTATTAAAGCGATATTTAAAAATTCACATTTAATGACGAATATAATCGATGTGCAAGATTTTCGAAAATTGTGAAATGTTTTACTGGCTGAAACAAGAATCGTTTCATATGAAAGAAAAGAGAAAGGTCTATTACATTGAAAACGACATTTAATCAAGAAATTCAGGTTCAATACTCCAATTAACATCTTCAGGCATGACTAGTCAATAAATGATATAAGATGCTGGTCTGAAACTGTCTGATTATCCGTACAAATGGACTTGGAATAATTAATGCACTGCGTTACAATCAAGGAAGTAAACTTGGAAAAACACTGCTATGCCAAACACTTTCAGATTATTTCAAGAGAGCAATTTGAGGCGAAAATTGATCGGAGGTGAATGGTAAGGAGTGGCTGAATTGGTGCCTCTGGCTGATGTTATTTATTTGAACAATGTAAGTTACATAATAATATGCAGAATAGAAATTTGAATCATTCGTCAACTGGCTAATTAATGTTACATTAATGTCACGAGTAAATGTTAAAAGATATATATATTTTTTATTATTTGCAATGCAATATATTCGTCCCTTTTCTACCTTAATTAATTACAATGAATTTCAGTTGGAAATAAAAATGTCTTCTGTGTGTCTAAAACCTATTTTTTTTTCCTTTCCTTAATTTCCAAAAAACCTTTCTTGCTTTTGGAAACGACGACCTTTGAAAATACAGTGCACTGGTGCTTGTGAAACGCCAGAATAATTTGCAATTTTCATCACAATTTGTAGTTAATGAAATTTTTTTGAAAGTAATTTCAAAAGTGTTGAACACCTTATTAAATAATCATGTTTACTTCTTCATCATAAATAAGTCGAATACACTATTCAATTACAATTTATCATTAGATAACATTAACAAAAACACAAAAAAGCAGTCAAGTAAACAAGAACTAAAATGAGCTGTTAAAATCATAAAGACAATAGCGCTTTTCTCTTCTAAATTCAAAAATTTATTTTGTACCTTTCAAAAGCAGCGTAAATCTGCTGTTTACCTACAGGGTGTAATTTTATTTGCGCGGTTCAAATTTGAATTAATTATCAAAAACGCTGCAAAAACAAATAACACATTAGCACTTACAAGCAACATTAAAAGTCTCCACAAAACCTTAATAGTCAAAACACCTGACACTACTTGAAACACATCACACCAAAAAAAAAACTTAAGGAACTATCCAAAAATAAAACTTTGGCGTCATTTTTTTCTAGTCCGTCACGTAGTGGATTTTTACGTAGGTTTTAATTGCAAATCAATGGTTTCATCGTGACGTGATGATATTTTCCAATAACAATGGTGCATAAACATAATCAGAGTTAAATTTAACTGGATGTACCAGTAGAATAAATTACAATTACTGCTTCCAATAAGTACGATATCAAATGTACAAAGTAATAAAAAAAGATAAATCCTGAAAACTCTTGTGTGTCTTGATTAAACCTACAAGCAATCCAATAAAGGAATCAAAGTTTTAGATAGTGAAAATTATCAATGAAAAATCGGCGAAATTCAGTACATTATCGCTTAATAGACGTACTATAGGTCTCAATCGAATTAGATTTATATATGTTTTTAAGTCAGAATCAGTTTTATGCAGTGATTATTTCTGCTCCTGAAGGTCAATAAATTCAATAAAGTAAGCAAAAATATGTTTACTTTCACAGGATTACAAAGAAATCATAGCGTTATCACTCGCATACAAGTTTCCATGCAATTTACATTGATAGAAACTAATATTTACACAATAGTAGCTGTAAGTGCGAAAAGCATGCACATAACATAAGGTTAAGCAAAATTAAATTTTCTTTTGAATTTTGCAATTATTCGGATCTAAAAGGCGACAGAGATCAGTATAAAAGAACAAATGTGGTAGAGCTTTAAATGCCCATAGCAAAAAATTGATTTTGTGTTTATTTGAGCGAATAACACTTAAGAAAAATCAAATATCTTCATGAATCAAAAGCATATAATCACTAAGACACAACAAACTTCTTTTTACATCCTCCCTCAAATGACTTTATAAAGAATTTCAATATGTGGCTTCTATATGTTTGGATCTCTAGCTTTGATAATCCAAATTAGCCGAATATAATCTTGTTAGAAATAATATATTTCTCCTCGTCAATCCCCTTTAAAGCAGTGGTTTGCAAGTACAAAAGCGCTTTTTAAAATTCTTAAAATACGTCAAGATGATGATTTTGTTGGAAATTTCCAAGTCAATGGCATATTTTTGTTAGTATCGTTCGGGGAAGAATTTAAAAAAATCAGTTTCCACATCCGTTCTTAATGACAAAAACAACAAAGCCAATGCAAATACTTGCGAACTGCTATTTGAAGACTGAAAAAATATTTAAGAAATCCAAACGGACAATTTTTTTTCTTTCTTTTGCAAGATCGGATATGAATAAATATTATACTAAAGTCGGTTGGAAATGATTTGCCACGTCGCCCTAAAAACGCAACAGTTTGAAGCAACGGCTGCGAAAGCATCTGGACAGCAAATATTTAGAAAATGTTAAGATGATTGGAAAAATTAGTTCGCTCTAGCACAAAAAAATCCTGCAAATGTACTTACTTTAAGCTAATTTTGTTAAAATTCATTTTCAGCATTAGAAGGTGCTTCAAAGATCACACAGCAAAACAAACTCTTTACTTAATGTGTAGTTAGTAAGGCATCCAAAAAATCGACAATAATTGAATGGTAGAAATTTCTACCCATTTAAACCTTAAACGCGCTGTAAATTCTGATTAAAAAAAACAAAACTGAACAATTTTTTCAGCTGCCTTTTACTAAATAATGTTAACCTACAGTTCGACAAATCAAATAACCATTAATAGATGTACTTTCTTAAGTCATCAGTATTTATTTATATACCTCAAGGTGCCAGCTGCTACAGCAAACAAAGGGAGGGTTTGAAAAGGCGTTGTTTGGCCGTTTTAAAAGCTATATTTTTATATTTATACACGTGTGACACCCTCGTAGTTTATACTTCACAACAGCAATCTTTGCTATTTTTAACTCGAAAAAACACTGAAAAAATGTGAATAAAAATAAATAGGGTGAGTCAAACGGGCGAATAATCTTAAGCAAGTTTTGCAAAATTTTATTTTTAATATTTATCAACATTAATAATCAGTGAACTATTTGAAAATATTGCTAAAAGCAATGCTCAAAGTGCATCTTCAGAGCCAACATCTTCGAAAAAGAAGCTATTTTTTTGCATTACTATCCAACTGAGCTTCAGTAACGCCTTAAAAAAATGAAGCCCATTTTGAATAACCTTGTATATTGTGCTCAAAACAGTTGAACAAACATTGAAACAAAGCAATAATTTGAGACAAATGTGTAGAAGGTATTTTTTCGATTGGAATAATCAATGCAAATGTTATTTATGGTAGAATTATTGGTGGTGTTTAGGACATTAGTCATTAGTCATCAACATTTTTGCTCACAATTAAAAACATTTAATTTATTAATTCATTGTTTTCCTTTGTGGATTACACATGTGTATATTTGTCCCTTACTAGAAATGTAGGCCAAAAACAGGGTGTATATTTTGGTATTCTTAATTCAATAATTTAATTTCTTTCTTTGCTGAAATCTGACAAGAAATCTGGCAGAAAATTATAAAACACCGTGTATATAAAAACGTAGTAATTAAAGAGATTGTTCCTGACTCGAGCTTTAAATAATTGATTAAATCAGTAATAAGTAAGTAGTCAAAAGAATATTGAAAATGCTACTAACAGAGCAAAAAAGGGCCCGTTAAAAAAACGAGAATGAGATTAATGCTTATTTAGTGCTATTGAAAAAATGGAGAACTTGAACCGCATTACATAATACCATTCTAGTTCTTAACATTGTTCTAATCATCCAATCGAACGAAAAGTAACAGCACTTTTATGGCAAAAGTACGGAAGGAACAGCTTTACTTTCACCATCTCTTCGTTAGATATCCATTAATACCCCAGTGAAAGTAAATTTGGTATGGCAGTATATAAAGATTCAGCTTTAAAATACGATTATCAGTCAACATTTGGTATTAATAATTATAACATTTAGTTCGTTCTGATTTGTATCAGTATCCCGTCAAGTGCACCATGCAAATCGTAAACAGTGCTTATTTCTTATGTGTGGTGGCAATGGTTAGGGCCAGTTTCGAGGGCGGCCACGGTGGTCATCACGAATTGTCGCATACAGTGGAAGTGACGAAACACGTTCCCGTTCCAGTTTACAAGCACGAAACCGTTCCAGTGCCTCATGCCGTTCCCGTTCCAGTGCCCAAACCAGTAGCTGTGCCAGTACCTCAACCGTACCCCATTCACATTAACGTACCCCAACCTGTGGCAGTACCCGTCATCAAAACCATCACCATCCCCGTTGAGAAACCCGTACCATACAAGGTGGAAAAGGAAGTAGCATACCATGTAGAAAAGCCCTACCCAGTTCCAGTTGAAAAGCACGTCCCCGTAAAGATCACCAAACCCGTTCCCTACAAAGTACCAGTCTACAAGGTTGTGTACCACCACAGCAAACACTAAGCCGATGAGTTGTTCTACATAACAAGACGCAAGACTGATACACCAATTCTTCATCTTCCTTCATTTTCATCCCATCTTATTGTTACCTCGTTGTTGTTGTTGTTGTTATTGTTTTTGTTAATTTCTTAATAAAAATTGTTATTTAAATTGGCTTTCACTTTAATTCCAAACAACCCTCAACTAAATGTTCCTTCCTTGAACCGTACGGTCGAGTTCTGGAATTGCAAAAGAAAAAACCAGTAACTCGTTTAGAACATCTGGCTCATGAGACGTGCAACCAAACTATCAAAATTATTTACCACAATTTTGCAGTTTCCATTTCGAAAACGTATTTTCCTCGATCGAATGCTATCATCTCGTTTGTCCCAGATTTATCGATCAAATGAGTAAAAAGTGCAAATTTCGGATTTATTTATATCTATTCTCGATAATGACAGTTACAATTGGAAAAACCGCAAATAATTCATCCGTTTTTTGTGTTTAAAACCAGTATTAAAAAATGTCCACAAAATCTTCTGCTCTCCATTTCAATATTTCCTGAACAAAGTCAGCACTGTTTTATTTCCGCAAACAATTCAAAACCTTGATTAATACACGTAATATAATGAATGCTACTCAATGAAACTTAAAACCATTTGGAAACTGCGGATGAAACAGAAATTGTTTTAAAGCACTGTGTCCCCAGTAGAGAGCCACTGTGCACACACTTGGACAAAACTAGATGGTTTTGAGTTAAATATATTCAACTTCATGTCAATATATATTGCAAACATTAGCCTTAATGTAAATGGGTTTAATTAATTGACTTTATATATTAAGAATAATTAAATTAATTTTCTCGGGTAGAATTTTTGCGAAATCGATTAGTCGGTGATTATTAGGCTAGAGATTTGCGTTTTTTACTTCTTCTTTTCTTTTACCTTCTCAAAATGTCTCATGATACAAAGAAAATGTAATAAACAAATACGTTTGTTAACCAACAAGCAATTAAATTGATTTATAAACCACATTTGCACCCTAAGAAACCATCGCATACTGAATGAGAAGAGTCAACCAAGAAGGTGAACGACTGAGTGATAAATAGAAAATTTCCAACAAAAAACGTACGGAATTGATTTCCCAAAGATTGAATGATATTTGAGCAAAAAAGTACTGGACTAAAGAAACACATGAGGTATTCGCTAAACGTTAAACGAATGATGAGTTTTTCAAACAATCAGATACACGCATTAGGAGTTAGCAAGAGTTTATTTCAAAATTTCGGAAAGGCCTTTGGCACCATTCAGACGCAAAATCGGACACTAAGGATCAGGTAGTCAGTCCAGTACCTAACGATCAGGCTTAATTTTCATGTAGTATCGCAATGTCTCCTCCTGGAACCTTGTTCTGTTCACTATAATGAGTAAATGTGTAAAATGTACTAAAGGTGTCATTAAACACTAGGAAAAGATCTACGTTAAATACCCAACTTACCCCCAGGTAACTGAAGATAGCCATTATCCGTATTGTACTCGCGAACCTTAAGAGGTTGAACTGATATACAGTTTTCCCCTATAGTAAAAAACGTCATTCATGCCTGAGTACCTTACACTAAACTGCATGTTATCCGAGTTCCCCCCGTACAGGAAGTGCGCGGAATAAAGGAACAAAAGCGTGACTACCTTTACATATTCAAAACGAACATTTCCTTTTTCGATAAGCGCATATCGGCAAACGGTCATTATATGTAAACAATGCACAGCTATTTCAATGTAACATTAAATCACAACCTAATTAGATCATTATTAGTAGTCTCATTGCGTAGTGTTACACACGTAGTTAAAGTCTTGAAGTTACATGAAACAGCTGGCAGAAAGCGTTAATGGTAGATTGCAAAAGGGAAAAACGAAGCATTGCTAGTGCATATTAATTTAAGGCATTATAGTGCAGTTATAGATTATTAATGGAATTACATGCAAATATTACCAGCAGCTGCTTAATACTAGACGGATAATGAATGTGTTCATTTCAACCTACTATAAGTCATTAAACCTCTTGGGAATAAAGATAATTATCCGGTTATAGTTTAGAGGTAAATCATATGCCAATGATGAAATTACTTAATTTTAATTACCACTAATATTTACACGATAAAATATACCATTTCACGCAAAGCCTATTTCCTTCTTTTATAATTTTCTTGTACTTCATGCTGTTTGCACATCACATTTCCACAAAAGACAATATTCTAATAATTAGAGCGGATTTCAAAGCATTGTTCGTAAGTAAAGTGTGGGCATTTTTTAATCACCCAGTATATTGAATGTCGTTATCAGTTTTCTGATACACCTAACCGTGCATCCAGGCAGATATTTGGTGACAAACTTGCCAGCGTATTTGTGGTTATTATTTGCATTATGCTCTTCACAGCTTAAAATGTATAACAATTTCACACATGCATTAAGTTTATCTTTAACCTGAGCAGAGCTAATTTATCACGTTATACTGAAGGCAGTAGTCAGAAGCAACGACTAAAACCGACTTGAGTTTGATAGAAAAAAACAGCAGAATCAGACATGGAAAACCATAAGTGATAAGATCCAAACAGTCTGTAAGCCGTGAAAACTGATGTTGCGAAGTGAGGTTATAAAGTGAACTTGTGCCGAACCTACAAAGTGTACTCAGTAGCCAACTGCTAGCAATTGTCATAGAATTGACCATTGAAATGCGGATATTTACATAAAAGCTCTAGAATTAATTCAATTGAAAAACTAAATTGTGAAGCTCTGAATTCTTTTCAACTGATTAAAGTGACGAATTTATAGTTCCATCAGCAAAACCCGTTTTATATATTTGCCCTTTACCGGGTTTACAAATAAAACAACAGCTATTTAGTAATGTTAATGAGAAAAACACCATTAACGGGTGGGATTGAATACTTTGTTACAGAAATTCTGATGTATTTCTTGCAACAATCTCAGGTTTTTGCGCAATTAATCTTTTAGCTACTTTTCCCGTATTCCCGATATGTCCGCAGACAACACTTCCAGAGGACGAGGCCTATTTTAATTCACCATACATACATTTTTTGTCCAACTGTTAAGGTACTGTTACTCTAAAGTTATCCACCAATATATTAACGTTTTTAAAAATAGTTCTAAATAATTTATTTTCTTCGTTATTTCACTTTCTATGTCACTAACTGGGTTGTTGTACTGATAAGGACTTTACAGATATCAAATAAATCAGCTGACAATACATTAAGTAACTATTAGCCCACATTAGCTTTATAGTGTTCTACAGATCCATTTCACACTGTTGGAATCAGTTTTTCCATTAAGATCCATCCATAGTTATGAATTCAATGATATGACTGAAGACAAATAAAACTCAACATTTTCCCATTTCTCTTGAATTTTTTTCCTAATTGAAATCCTTCAATGTCTCAGTGCATTGTTAGATAAAAATATATTGCTGTTGCTCTAATAAATATATAAATAAGAAATTGTGTTCGTGAAGATAACTATGTTAACGTTTTAATTGTGTAAATAGATTTATTTTTTTATCGAAATCGATTCAAAACAGTAAAATAATTTATGGAAATTTGTCTTCAAGTTTACAGCAGAGTTTCTTTTTTCTAACACACAAACCAGAGTTTCTGTAACTTTTTTTCTCTGATAGAATATGAAAAAAAAACATGAATAAACTTGCAATGTGCGTTTTTGATTAAATTTTTTAAATATTTTTAATTTCTCCTGTGTTGGAATCCATCAGCACATCCATAGTTATCAAGTCAACGCTTGAATAAAAATCAAACTCAAAATTTTCCTATTTCTCTTCCTAATTGAAATCCATCATTTTGACCATTTTTACATAAAATGTATTGCATTTACTCTAATGGATACGTAAATAAGAAGTTGTGTTTGTGGAGGTAACTATGTTAATGTTTTAAGTGCAATCGTCCTATTCCAATTTGTAAAAATTAAGATTTACATCAAATCTCGATCCAAAATAGAAAATTTTCAAAATCTAATATGGTAAACTAATTTATGAAAATTCGTTTTTAATTTCAAAGTAGATTTTCATTGATAGACTATGAAAAACTTGTAATGTGAGTTCCTTATTGACTACTGGAAAACAACTTCGAGGGCACCTTCGGGTTATCGAAAAAATCGATTTAATAGAAAATCAAAAATATATATTTAAATAACAATCAATAACAACAAACATAACAACAATGAATGGCGAAGCACAGAATCACAAAGCAGCTAAAACTAAGATGAAGAAAGGATGAGGTAAAGGTGTATCAGTCTTGTTCCTTGAAGTTCTCCTTCAGAAACTAGTGATGTTTTTCATTGTGATAAACCACTTTGTAAACTGGCACCTTAACTGGAACTGGGTTGCTGATCTTCACAGGCACATGTTTCTCTACTGGAACTGGAACGGGCTTTTCGACATGATAATGAACTATCTTCTCGATCTTGTAGGGAACGGGTTTCTCAATAGGGATGGTAATGGTTTTGATGACCGGCACGGCAATTGGTTGAGGCACTTTAATATGAACTGGGTAAGGTTGAGGCACCGGAATGGCTACTGGTTTCGCTACAGGAACAGGCACGGCATGTGGAATCGGCACCGTTTCATGTCTATAAACTGGTACCGGCACATGTTTGGTAACTTCCACTGTGTGTGAATATTCTTGGTTGGCATGTCCGCCATATCCACCGGAATCACCATATCCTCCGGAATCACCATATCCACCCTGGTAACCCGCTTGAGCCAAAGCTACAACACTTAGAACCAAGGCACACCGGATTGAATTCATTTTGATTTTAGTTTGAACAATTAAGTCTTATTAAAGCTGTACGGTCGCACTCAATGTACGACGACGAATGAATCTTTTTTTGTGTGCTACTATTTATATTGTTAAAATACTTTCACTATCTCTTTTATAAACGCGAACTAGATGTGAGATACGGAAGATGAATATGGCGATTACATAATTGTTAGATCTTAGCCTTCTAAAAACCCAGCGGAGACTTCCGATTTTTTATGGCTAAATTACAAGAGTGACTCTTGACCAGGGCAGTATTGAACATTTTTAAAATTAATTCTAAATTTTACCAAGAGCAATTTTTAGTAGATCGTGTCTACACTCACACCAGAAAATAGAGAGAATATTGATTTGAGATATATTCATAAAAGTGTCGACAAGAAATATACAATTTTCGTTTCTCATTCTAATGATACTGTTTAAATTGGTAATTCAACAAAACCGATATTGTTTGTAGATGGTCGTCTTAATTTTAGCTCAACCATTATGAGTTTTAACCTAACAGATCACTTTAAAATAATCACGAAAATAAAAACATATCCGAGAATCCACACAACAACGTATACAAAATTCGTTTATACAAAAACTCTTAAAGGAATTATGCAGAATTCGTTTTTATACGAATCGAAGAACTATTAGATATCTACCGTTTTAACAAATCTTGCAAACTAATAAGGCCCATTTTCATCAAGCGATCTTAAACCAGTTTAACGTCTGAAACTCAGTTTGACGCGCGAAACGGATTTCACCAGAACCTTAAACTTAGTTTGTGCTCAAACGCGTTTAAAGAAACGAACTGGCCGATTTTGGGCGTTTATAGCTTTAAACGCTTTATAGCTTTAAATTATTGACGTCATGGACCCAAATGGTTCCTTGATAAGATGATTTTGCGATGAGAATCGTAATATTTCTCACTTTTGCAACGATGCCAGTGTTTCCAGTTTCTTAAACTGCGTTTCAATAAACGCAGTTTATGAAACGTACCGAAGCGCTGGTGAAAACGGTCCGTCGTTAAACGCGTTTAATTTCGGCGCTTAACATAAACTTAGCTTCGTCAAACTGCGTTTCGCTTGTTTCTGATGAAAATGGGCCTTAAACTGAAATCGTAGACACAGCTTATTTTCGACGTCAAATCATCATATTTCAAACCCGAATTCCTGCAACTTGTTTCCAGTAATTTTAGAAAACCA